ATCTATCTATCTATCTATCTATCTATCTATCTATCTATCTATCTATCTATCTATCTATCTAATCTGAGACACAATTTCCTCCTCCTATTTTCTCTACAACACCAACCTTGTGAGGTGGGTTGGGCTGACAGAGAGTGTAACCCATTGTTGCCCAGCTGGCTTTCAGGTCTAAAGTGGGACTAGAACTCACTGTCTCCTAATTATTGGCCCAAAGTCACCCAGCTGGGCGATTTTCATGCCTAAGGCGGGACTAGAATGACCCCCCCCCCCCTGGTGATTGATCCAGTCACCCAGCTGGCTTTCATGCCTGAGGTAGATTAGGACTCACCACCCCCTGGTGATTGGCTCAAAGTCAACCAGCCAGCTTTCATGCCTAAGGCAGGACTAGAACTCACCATCGCCTGGTGATTGGTCCAGTCACCCAGCCAGCATTTCATACCTAAGGTGGGACTAGAACTCACTGGTGCCTAGTTATTGGCCCAAAATCACCCAGCCGGCTTTCATTACTAAAACAGGACTAGAACTCCATCTCCTAGCCCAGCGCCTTGACCATTAGACCGAACAAAATCTCACCTCCTTGTTGGGTTTTCACTTGGATGGGATCCGAGAGCGGGCCGTCCCCCACGGATGTGAATGCCAAGACTCGCACGGTGTAGGTCTCGTGCTCCAAAAGGCTCCCCACGGTGGTCAGGAGACTGTCGTCCACATTGTGTTTCTGCCAGTTGCTGACCGGTTGATCGGGCTCCATGGTGTAATACACCCTGTATCCCCGGATCTGGCCGTTCGGCTCTACTGGTTCCTCCCACTGGATGATCATGGTCGAGGCACTCAACATCCGGCCCTGAACATTTCGGGGGGCGCTGGCGGGTGCCTGCTCCCCCGTACGGGTCACAACGGAATCGCTGTGTGGACCCTGCCCGATGGTGTTCACCGCCGACACCCAGATCTCATATTCTGAGTTGGGACTAAGCCCCCCAATGCTGTAGCGGGTCGTAGTGATGTCTTCCTTGATTTGATACGGCCCGTCCTGACTCTTCGACTTATACTCGATCACGTAATAGGAGACGGGGTCCGGATTTCCGGAGTCCCAGGTTATGGTGATGCTGGTGGCCGTGGTCTCGGTGACAACCGGGGTGCCTGGAGCTTTGGGAAAGGCTGAGAAAACGGGGAAGAATAGACTGAAAAGGAATACAGCCACGCTCGCGGCGCGTGCTACGTTTCCCCCAATTGGCCGACGAGAGCAACCAGCGTGCGGCATAGAGGGGCAGCATTTCATGAAGAACAGCGGCTGAAATACCCTCACCCTAGGGAAGTGGAGTTTAGGGACCTCCTTAAACAGCACAATCGGCCCAGAAATAGCAATCGCGGCAACTTTTAAGACTTACACACCACTTTGCGGTGCTTCTACAGCCCTCCCTAAACGGTTTACAGAGTCAGCCTCTGGCCCCCAACCATCTGGGTCCTCGTTTTACTGACCTTGGGAAGATGGGAAACTTGAGGCAGTGAGAATCGAACTGCCAGCAACAGGCAGCCAGCAGAAGTAGCCTGCAGTGCTGCATTCTAACCACATTGCGCCACCGCGGCTCATGACAGAAACTGTTCGGCTCAGTGGTTGGCATCAGTCATGTGGGCCGGGTACCCCCCAAAATGGCCGTTTGCTTGCAAATACAAGAAGCCCTTGACTTACGACCACAATTATGTCAAAATTTATATGGCTAAGCAAACTATCTGTTAAGCCAGTTTTGCCCCACTTTTTTGGGCCACCATTCTTAAGTGAATCACTGCAATGATTAAGTTAGCAACATGCTAGGCCACTGGGAATTGCAGTCCACCCATCTTAAAGTGCCCAAGTTTGAGAAAGACAGTTCTAGATTGTTAACTAATTCTGGATCATCTTGGCCAATATTCCTCTTTTCCCAAAATACGAATGTTGGCTTGTAAACTAATCCTAGGTCATCTCGGCCAATATTCCCTTTGTTTTTCTCTTTGACTATTCTCAAAATACAAATGTAGGTTTGTTACCTAATCCTGGATCATCTCGGCCAGTATTCCCTTTGTTTTCCTCTTTGGCCATTCCCAAAATACAAATGTTGGCTTGTTAACTAATCCTCGATCATCTTGGCCAACATTCCCTTTGTTTTCCTCTGACTATTCCCAAAATACAAATGTTGGCTTGTTAACTAATCCTGGATCATCTCGGCCAATATTCCCTTTGTTTTCCTCTTTGGCCATTCCCAAAATACAAATGTTGGCTTGTTATCTAATTCTGGATCATCTTGGCCAACATTCACTTTGTTTTCCTCTTTGACTATTCCCAAAATGCAAATGTTGGCTTGTTCACTAATCCTGGATCATCTCAGCCAATATATTCCCCTTGTTTTCCTCTTTGGCCATTCCCAAAATACAGATGTTAATATAGCACACCTCTGGTTTCCTTCAGGTCAACGCACAAATACATCCAGACTCTTTCCTGAAGCAGGGCAAAGGAGACGCCTGTGGCTCTTTTACTCTGTCAAATGCTCCTCATGTCCTCATTACAGAACAACCCAGGTGGAAGGGACCTTGGAGGTCTTCTAGTCCAACCCCCCCCCCCCAAAGACCACAATACAGGTGCCATGCCTGAAGAGCCCACAAACTGGCCACAAACCTATGCAAATGAACACGGGAGGCACGCATGCGTCTCGAGGACAGAAATGCATGAAGCAAATGAGGCAGGCTGTGGTTGTGGCTGGACCTTGTTTTTGCAGAGGGGGGGGGGGGGGGGGGGGGGGCGTCATGCCCCCCCCCCCCCAAGGAGCATTTGAGGGCAATTCTGGAACACATGCAACAGGCTGATGTCACGTCATGCAACAATGCTCTTCTCGTGCATAGCTCTGTTACCCCCGTGTAGGAAGTTAGCCAGAAGTCACAATTCCCCAAGAAAATGCAGAGACAGACCATGGGATGCATTTCAGATATATTGGACAACAGGTAGTCCTCGATTTACAACCGTTCTTTGGATGTTACAACGACGCTGAGAAAAAGGGGCTTACAACCGTTCCTTGGACTTACAACCGTTGAATCATTCCCATGGTTACGCCATCAAAATCCAGGTGCTCGGCAACCGGCATGCATTTACGACGGCTGTAGCACCGAGGCTTTTGCCCTTTGGAACTTTCCCAACAAGCAAAAGTCAAGGGGGGAAGGGAAGCCAGATTCATTTCAGGACCGCACAGTTCACTTAACAACTTCAGTGATTCGCTGAAGAATGCTGGCGAAAAAGCTCGTAAAATCGGGCCTGACTCAGAAATAGCAATAGCTCTTGGACTTATATGCTGCTTCACAGTGCTTTGCGGCCCCTCTCTAAGTGGTTTGCAGAGTCAGCCTGCGCCCCGCCCCAACAATCTGGGTCCTCATTCTAACGACCTCAGAAGAATGGAAGCTGAGTCAACCGTGAGCCGGTCAGGATCGAACTCCTGGCAGTGGCAGAGTTTGCCTGCAATACTGTATTCTAATCACTGCGTCACCAGGGCTCTTGAGACACACACACACACACACAGAAAGATTGTAAATGATAGATAGATGATAGATAGATGGATAGATGGATGGATGGATAGATAGATAGATAGATGGATGGATGGATAGATGGATAGATAGATGGATGGATGGATGGATGGATGGATGGATGGATGGATGGATAGATAGATAGATAGATAGATAGATAGATAGATAGATAGATAGATAGATAGATAGATAGATAGATAGATGGATGGATGGATGGATGGATGGATGGATGGATGGATGGATGGATGAATGGATGGATGGATGGATGGATGGATGGATGGATGGATGGATGGATGGATGGATGGATGGATGGATGGATGGATGGATGGATAGATGGATAGATAGATAGATAGATAGATAGATAGATAGATAGATAGATAGATAGATGATAGCAACAGCACTTAGACTTATATACTGCTTCACAGTGCTTTACAGCCCTCTAAGCGGTTTATAGAGTCAGCCTCTTGCCCCCAACAATCTAGGTCCTCATTTGGTCAGGATTGAACTCCTGACAGCGGGCAGAGTTTGTGTCATGCCCCTGGTGGAGACTGACTCTGAGGAAGAGGAGGAACAGCCAACAGGGAGTGGGAGTGTGGCTCCAGAGGTGGTGGAGGAGGCTGGGGAAGGGCGGAGGCCTGCTGGGCAGTCAAGAGGCGGATCCAGGCCCATCCCCTCTCCGTCCTAGGACACGCAGGGAGGAGAGGAACAGGGAAAAGCGAGGTCTACTCAAGAGGAGATTACCATGATCCTTCTCGTGGTTTGCAGGTGGGAGCTATGTATATAAGTTTGCAACTGCGTAGTTAGAATTTGCAGGAGTCAATTTAGTGTTCACCTTGAAAGAGGTTCACCTTTGCTGGTGTTCTTCCCATGGAGTTTTCTCGGTTGTTTTCCTGGAGTTTATGATTAGTTATTTTGGCTTGCTTCGGAACTCTCATCAATGCGGTTTGTTTTGGTTTTCTGTTTGCCTCATTGTTTACTTTTGTGACTTTAAACTGTGCCTAATAAAACAGCGAAGTTAAGTTGAAGGCCTTACCGGACTTTAATATATGTTTTGGGTTTTGAGTTATTTTGAGGGACTACGGGTCATCACAGTTTGCTTGCAATGCTGCGTTCTAACCACTGTGCCACCAGGGCTCTTGAGACACCCAGAGAGATTGTAAATGATAGATAGATGATAGATAGATGATAGAGACAGAGATAGGTAGGTAGGTAGGTAGCTAGGTAGGTAGGTAGGTAGGTAGATAGATGGATGGATGGATGGATGGATGGATGGATGATAGCAATAGCATTTAGGGCTTCATAGCTCTCTCTAAACGGTTTATAGAGTCAGCCTGTTTCCCCTAAAATCTGGGTCCTCATTTTACTGACCTTGGAAGGATGGAAGACTGAGTCAACCTTGAGCCAGTCAGGATCGAACTCCTGGCAGCAGGCAGAGTTAGCCTGCAATGCTGCACTCTAACCACTGTACCACCAGGGCTCCAATCCAAGGCTTAACCCTTGCTTATCCACAGAAACGCTGCCCCCCATGGCCGTAAGTCGAGGACTTCCTGTACAACGTCCACGAGCTCCAATCCACATAGCCAAAGGCAAGACGGGGGTCAACGTTGCAGTTGCCAAACCTGGGGACGGCATTCGATTTGTCTATACCCGAAATCCTAAATAAACAGGATTCCAACTTGCAACTCAAAACGCATTCAGTGCTGTACGATCGACAGAAGGGACAAGATGGGAGTCCAAGCAGATGAAAGGGGGAGAAAATGGCGGCCATGCACAGGAAGAGGCGGGAATCTAGGTTAGGGAAGAGATCGGCTCACCTAACCAACATTCCCTTTGGTCTGAAATGACTCAAAATAAAATAAAATAATAAAATAAACGGAGCCAATTTTCAACACAGCACAGTTTTGTCCAATGAAACCCCCAGATCCGTGGGAGTTGTCATGTTGTGGGAAACAGCTGTCGATCAAGCTAAGCTCCGCCATGGGGAGGAATCAAGAGCCAAGATCAACCAAGGAGCAAAGTCAGCCAGCCGGAAGCGCAAACCGGTCAAGGAATGGTGCAAACTTACATTTGACAGTGATTTGGGCCACCGCTTCGATCACACCCAAACTCGACATGGCGACGCATGTATAGTTGGCGGAGTCTTTCACGTCGGTCAATTCCAGGACGTTGCGCCCCACCGGCATATCGTCTTCTGGCGTCAAATCTTCGGCCCCTTGCATCCACTTGACGTACGGCATCGGGGAGCCCACTGCCACGCAGGTGATGTTCACATTTCCGCCCGGCATGATCTCATGGCTGGTGGGTGGGATGGAAAACCGAGGAGCCACGCGCCGCACTGCGGACGAAATGCACAGCGGTAACAAAACAAAACGAAAAAAAAAAAAGAATAAGGAAAACAAGAAAAACAAGAAAAACAAAGGAGGAGAAAAAAGAGAGAAAAAGAAGAAAAATAAAAGATAAAGGACGGGAAAGGGGGAAAAAAAGAGCAGAAGAGAATTTAAATACAGGTGGGGAAACGGAGGGGGGCTTTTGAATTACTTGCAGTTCCTTCATTTTCAAAATTAAAAAAGGCTGAAATTAAAAAATTATTGGAATGCCAAAGAAATAAATCAAGAAAGGAAAGGGGGGGGAGGGGAAAAAGGGGAAATAAACAGAACTTCGAAAAGAATTTACTTTCACAAACGATATATAGAATTATAGACATCAAAGCAATATTTCATAGCAACAGAAGTTCCAATGATCGGTTTGAGACCTGTCATCACAGCACAAATATAGACACAAAAATTTATTAGCAATTTCTCATCTTTGGAAAAAGCAAAGAGGGGGCACATATATGTCCAGACCAGGGGGAGTTTCCCTCATATGTCTTGGCACGTCCTGCCACCCCAACCCCGAGAACGTGGCCACCAACTTCCAAGAAGAAAAAGTGGGGTTTGTTCTGCATTCCCTTTAAAATCTGCAACCTAGTTTAGGGGAAGAGGAGGAAAAAACAAACCTGGATAAACAATAAAATAAAAAAAGTGGAAGACGGGGAGAGTGGCTTTTTAAAGGTAGTCCTCAACTTAACTATTCTTTTAGGGATCATTCTAAGTTACAACGGCACCCCCTCAAAAAGTGGCTTATAACTGTTTTTCACTCTTACGACCGTTGCAGCCTCACTATGGTCCTGTGATAAAAAATTTGGACACTTGGGAACTGACTCATATTTATGATGGTTGCAGTGTCCCTTTTGCGACCTTCTGACAGGCAAAGTCAGTAAGGAAGCCAGGCTCACTTAACAACCATCTTGCTAAATTAATAACTGCAGCGATTCACTTAGCAACGATGGCAAGGAAGATGGCAAAACGGGGCAAAACTCACTTAAGAACTGTTTTGCTTAGCAGCGGAAATTTCTGGCTCAATCTTGCGTCATTTTGGGAAATTCACATTCCTACGTCTCAAATTCGGGAGAGAAAATTTCCAAAACCAAATATTCTATTGGTTCAGATGGCCATTATTTGGGAAAAGGTCTACGGAGGTTCTCCGTCATCCAGGTCATGGTTATCCCAAAGGTGATTTTTTTTCAAGAGGCCGCTGGACTTTCAGGTTTTTATTTGAAGATATTTCTCACCCGAGAAGCTTTTTCAGCTCTGACTGGATGGTGGGGAATGGAAGGATTGATACTCCTTGCAGACAGCTGGTCATTTGCATCCTTTGAGATGGTCATTGAGGCCACTTGGAGGTTTATCGGTGTCCTCAGATCATGTGCCGTTTCAGGTTTTTCTTTGAAGACATTTCGCTTCTCATCCAAGAAGCTTCTTTAGCTCTGACTGGATGGTGGGGAACGGAAGGATTTATTCTCCTTGCAGACAGCTGGTCCTTTGCATCCTTTTGGAGGGTCATTGAGACCACTTGGAGGTTTATCTGTGTCCTCAGGGACACCTGAGTAGTGCAAATGGGTCTGAAGCCTTCTTGAAACTGTTGTAGACTAGAGATAGTCATATCCTCCCCCTCTACTGAGAGAGGCCTGTTCAATTTTGATCTAGATGGCCTCTTTGACCCCTCTTTGAAACCAGCAGTCCCCTCTGTCCAAAATGTGGACTTTGTTGCCTCCACAAGAGCGGCATTTGTCTTTTAAACATGCATGGACTACGGAATCTTGTCCTGATGGGTTTGTTCCCCTACATTGTGCCATGCGTTTGTGAAGTATTGTACTGCATAGACCACGTGGCTCATTTTGTGTCTGGATGTTTTATCCTTACGGCGGATAAGCTTCTGCCTTAGTGTATTCTCAGGTTTGAAGCAGAGGTGGCTGAGGGCCGGTTTGCACCGGTTTGGACGAACTGGTAGTTAAGATTCTGCGCAGTTTGGCGAAGCGGCAAATCCTACCACTGGCAGGCCCCATCCCCCGCTCGATTTTTGGTCTGTTTTCTGGGCCAAAAGCGGTCCAGAAAAGGGCCCAAAACCCAGCCTGAAAACTGCCAAAAAACAGCCCCCCAAATGGCCTGTTTTTTGGCCGTTTTCAGGCGTTTTTGGGTCATTTGGGGGGCCGTTTTCAGGCCATTTTCCACAAAAAAATGGCCTGAAAATGGCCCAAACAACGGCCTGAAAACTGCCAAAAACAGCCAGAAAAATGGCCTGTTTTGGCCATTTTTAAGCCTTTTTTCGGGCCATTTTCAGGACATTTTCCGGGCCCAAAATGTCCTGAAAACACAGGCCGAAAAAAGGAGTGGGGATGGAGCCAACCAGTGGCGGGATTAACTCCAATTGGCTGAATCCTACCTCTGCCTTTGAGGCGAGTGGCCGGTGTCATGAGTGACATCACCCATCCAGTCACATGAGCAACCGCCTACCCAGCCAGAGAACTGGTTGTTAAGTTATTCCAATCCCACCGCTGGTTTGAAGGGGGCACGTATGTTGTGTTGGCTGAAGATCCTCCTGAGCTTTTCCGATATTCCTGTCACGTGTAGAACGACAACGTTGCTTCGTTTATTGTTATGGAAGAACTCCTGTTTTTTTGTTTTTTTTGAGATTTGAGGAAGGTCCATCATCGATCTCCAGTCTACAGCGCAGTCCTTTCAACAGGTCCAAGAAGGCTCCACACCCATTTGCCCCACTCAGGTGACCCTGAGGACACACACACAAGCCTCCAAGTGGCCTCAACAACTCTCTAAAAGAATGCAAACCACCAGCTGTCTGCAAGGAGTATAAATCCTTCCATTCTCCAGCATCCAGAGCTGAAGAAGCTTCTTGGATGAGAAGTGAAACATCTTTTAAAAAAAAACCAGAAAGTCCAGTTTTCTCTTGAAAAACAACAAAAAAACCACCTTTGGGAAGTGCTGATAAAACAGCTGTGTTTCACACCTGGGTATGCAGCCCTTCTTGAGAGGGTTAGGCAGGTAGTCCTTGACTTACAACCACTCATTTACCTGCTGTTTGAAGTTACAGTGGCACTGGGATTAGTGACTTATGACCGGTCTGCACTTACAACGATCGTAGCATTCCCCATGGTCGTGTGATCAAAATTAAGGGCCTCGGCAACCGGCATGTATTTACGATGGTTGCACCATTTTGGGGGGGTCACCTGATCGCCGTTTGTGACCTTCCTAACTAGTTTCTAGCCATGGTGGCCCAGTGGTTAGAGGGCTGTACTGCAGGGCTACTTCTGCTGACTATCAGCTGCCCGCAATTTGGCAGATCAAATCTCACCAGGCTCAAGGTTGACTCAGCCTTCCGTCCTTCCAAGGTGGGTAAAATGAGGACCCAGATTGCTGGGGGCAAGAGGCTGACTCTGTAAACCGCTTAGAGAGGCTTGTAAAGCACTGTGAAGCGGTATATAAGTCTAAAGGCTATTGCTACCCCCCCACCTTTACCTCTCTCTTTGTGGTGGTGCAGTGGTTAGAATGCAGTATTGCAGGCTGACTCTGCCCTCTTCCAGGAGGTCGATCCTGACTGGCTCAAGCTGTTGCTAGCAAATAAAGTCAGTGAGGAAAGCTGGATTTGCCTAACACTATCCATCTTAATATTAAATGATCTGCTTAATGACTCCATGGATTTGCTTAGCAACCATGGGGGTGGGTGGGTGGGTGGGAAAAGCTCCTAAAAATCAGGCATGACTAACTTACCAACCACCTCGCTTGTACTCACAAGTCGAGGACTCCCTGAAGTCTCTCATGGCTAGCTTACCTTGTTTTGTGTTGTTTTTTTTAATTCTCCTGGCCTTGTGACCAGATGCAAAAAAAAAAAAAAAAAATGGAACAAAAAGGGGCTGAAATCCTTTACAGCCTGTCCTCATTTAGTGACCTCAGCAACTCAGTTGCTAAACAAAACTGCAACTGCCCTTGTGATCTGACTGCAGCTCTCCTTTCCTTGAGAGACCCACAAGGGTCATACGTTTGGGTCGAGGACTGCTCATCGCCCAGTGAAATTTCATCATCTGCAAATAGTTGCTAAACAAGACAGCTGCTAAACGAGGACGCCCTGTAATTATGGTTAAAACTAGGCACTCCTAAGTCTATTTTCCTGAAATGCTTGCAGATGCATATATACATATACATATATGTGTGTGTGTGTGTGTGTGTGTGTGTGTGTGTGTGTTTTCGTAGATTTTCACAGGCACAGGTATGCCGGTCTTGGCGTGTTCGGGTCTTTTCCCCTGTAAGGTTGAGAGCATCTTGGCAACGTTTCGACGAGGTCCCACTCGCCATCTTCAGGCTGGTGAGCAGGTGAGGGTAAAGGGCCTTTACTCCCTACAGGTACCCCAAATTTAGTCCCCCAAAATTGGAAGAGGACACATAAAAGAAGGGGGGGGAGCCCTTTCCTCCCCCTTCCCATTCCCCGACCATCCCCAAGGAGGAAGAGAAGCTGCAACAGGAAGGCCGTGTACGGGACAGGAAACAAAACAATAAAAAGATCAAAAAGATGAGAAACGCTAATCAAATTTTTGTGGTTTTGGGGTATATACACCCTAACAAAGCTTCTTGGAAAAATCTGACATGATTCCATTGATAGATGCAGCTTTCGGAGGTCATGCAAAGGGAGAAGCAGAAGAGGAGAGAAAAAGATTGAGGGTGAGATTGAGAGAGAGAGAGAGAGAGAGAGAGAGAGAAAGAGAGAGAGAGAGAGAGAGAGAGAGACAGACAAGAGAGAGAGAGGCAGAGAGAGACAGAAAAGGGAGAAGGAGGCGTAGAACAGTGGAAGTTATTAAACGGGCTGCTAGCAAATGCCCAGGAGGTTCAGGGAAAAATGGGAAGGGGGCAAATTAGAGAGAGACAGAGAGGTTAGGGGTGCCGGGAAACCCACTGTTAAAAATGCTGCATACTCTGTTTCTAGCTGATGTGATCCAATGCGCTGATC